TTAGCCTTCAGTTCTGAAAGGGCAAATGCTTCAGAGAGTGAATTATGGAGTAAATTCAATGTTCACATTCACCATGCACACTACACACACATCTCAATGACAGCCAAAATGAAAGTTCTGAAACGGGACGTGTTGTCCCCTTATCTGTACGGCTATGAATGTTGGACAATCACCAAAGGCAGTGAAAATAAAATAGAAGCAACAGAAATGGGGTTGTTAGGAGACTGCTGAGAATTTTTTGGAAGAGAGAGGAATCAAATGAGGTACTACTTGAATGAACCCTCGTGGGCTGCTTGCTAATAAAAAAAAAACAGTCAGGAAAAGACGAATGCATTTTCTGGGGCACTTGAATAGACATAAAGGTCTTAAACATCTAATTCTCACGAGCAGAATTGAGGGCAAACGATGCAGGGGTAGACCCAGAGCAATCTACTTGGAGAGCCTGACAAATGGGTGACAGGGAAAGATCAGAATTATGTAACTTTTTGAGAGCATCCGCGTAAAGAATGATGATGATGATGATGATGATGATGCTGATGATGATGATGATGATGATGATGATGATAATATACAAATACATGAGCACGTTTTCTTTCAATACTATGTATTGCATAAGATCTTTTTTTGTACGATGTTTGTCTGTTAATGTTATACCATCATAGTGTTTTGTCTTTCCTCACGAATACAATCGTGCAACTGTTTTGTTCCTCATCATGCTGTCATTTGTTTATTTAACATACTTACAATTTCTTTGCTCATTTACTTATTCCATCTATTTCTTCTCCCATTCCCTTGTTCAAATAGAACCTTTCTCTTTGGCTTGTGTTTTCATGTTTGAGTTTTTCGTAATCTACATGTTCAGATACATTCTTTGAGAGATTGTTTATCCAATATTTACTTTCATGTTCTGTTTCCATGAAAAAATTTATTCAGTTTACTGACTTTTTCTGTTAATGAATTTCGTAACTGACTATCTGTTTATCAATCCATTCATTTTTCATGCTCTGTACTCCATCCTTCAAGTTCCATCCGTTCTCTGAGATTTATTTGTAAGAGAGTATTATAGACCACGTACTCTGGTGTATATCCGGTTTTCTCTGAAGCGCACCACGTGTCTCAGTTTGAGCCAGATGAAGGACAGAGAAGGAAAAGTTGACACGCACACTCTACTACAGCGAGGATGGTATTTTGTTCTTCATTTGGGTGTGATATTGCGCACGCTTTGCATCCAAGTTGTTAGAAGAAGCGAGGAGCGCGGCTATGACAGTACACAGTCTGGGTGTACAGGTGTTTTGTTGTACCCTAGTCTCACAATCATTGCTTTTGTCTCTTTTCTCACACCAAGGAAATTAGGCAAAAGTATAAAAATAATCTTATAATCAGCTAAATAACGTCTGCACGAATGACGTACAGGGCGACCACTCAAAGATGACCCCGAAAGAGGGCGGAGATCCTCGATAAACGCACCAGATAGAATAAGTTCTGAATGGAGGGCTACATATTACTTTAACCGAAATATTCACTGTTCGCTGCCAGGACAAAATCAACCTCGCAACATGTTTGTACAAATGCTTTGTAAGAAAATTGCGCAATGGAATTCATTTTAATTATGAACGCTCATGTGATGACTGAGAGCATCGTGTGCAAAGGTAACGATGAGGATGATTTGAAAATAGGGCGAGGAGAGAGGACAAGAGGAATGGAAAGGGAAGGAGCGCGAGATAGCAAAGATCGCCCCGAAGAAGGAGCGAGGGGAACAGAAAGAGAAAAAAAGCTAAAGGAGGAGTACGACGAGAAAAAAGACCTGTGATTTAGAGCTCTTCCTGGACGGTCTAAACCAAGGATCTGAACCAATGCCATTCACGCCCAATTTGAAAGCCATACAAACTGATTTGTAGAAAAGCCGAACAAATTTAGATATATTTTAGCAGGTGAAACTATTTGTCTAAGGAAGAAGTAAGATTTACCCCATACTGTATTTGAATTTGTAGATTTTTTCTTCCCTCTCGACACGATTAAGTCAATTAGAAGAGGAGCTGCCTTTACCTAATATTGTTGGATGAATGGTTGGAACAGAAATACTACATGTATGATGTTTTCAAGGTGCACAAGATGGAAACAAAGTGGAAAATATCAATATTACCTTTATTCCATTCACTACAATCGATATTTTGTGTCATATACAGACCTAATTAGTCACAAAAACCAGTCTGAAATATAGACCAATAAAGCACAAATCATCTTTTTTTGCAGAGGTCGTCATTCTTTTTTCAAAGAAGGTCTGAAAACGAAGAGAATTCCAAGCGCGTGGTGGATAGATACCACACGGAATACATAAAAAATAAAGACAAATAACTAATTGATTTGTGAATACACACATCAATAACAATGCTCAAAATAGATGCAACAAACAAGACCATTTAATGTGTGTCACGACATCGTGGAATCACACGCTCGTCAATGTTTGGACATAGATATAGCCTGTTCAATAATTTAAAAAATACCTGTCTCTTCTAAATAGAATAAGTAGAGATAGTTGTGATTGAAGGACCAGATGCTTCGCAATTTTGTCCTTACAACGTGTGTATGAAGGGTGGGGATGGCCTTTAAAAAATATTTCTATTAAAAGGAAAGGTTACCGATCCAAAACATTGAATTCACAGACAGCTATTTGTTTGTTTGTTTTGGGTAGGGCCTGGGTGTTTTACAGCTCTTGCAACTGAGTGAGGTCATGTGAGAGCGCGGAACACATTACACATTTTTAGTTTGGTAGGAAATAATTTTGAATTTTGCCTGGGTGGCGGCCGAAGCCTACTCTTATCGATTTTGGACCACCAAGGGATCTTTGACGTGCTCAACAAGCACACAGGACCTTCGAGATTTTTTGCCCTTATCCGAGAATGTTAGGTGCTAGATCATACCTATCCTATAATCAGGGGTGTTGCTGAAAGACAGCCGTAAAAAGGACCAAAGGAGCAGCATTAGAAGGCTGCAGAAAGAATCCGGAGCTCACAGGAGGGGGCCGAAAAAAAAGGGGAAGGGGGCGGTAGAAAGTGGAGACAAAAGCAGTTGACAGAACGGGATTAGATAGCAGGAAAGGAAGGAAAAACATAACATTTTTTAAAAAGAAAAACTTCCATTCCAGCCAGGTTTCGAACCAGGGACTTTATGAATGACGTATCACCGGCTAAGTATAAGCTAGAGTGCAACAAAATTTGAGCCAAATTAAGGGTTAGAAGAAGGTGCTACTCGTAATAGACTACAACGAGACTGCGGTGATGACTTATTGACACTTACTGTCCTTTCGTCCAATTTGCAGAGAGATAGCAAGCACGGCGACCCAGACTGTGTGCGGTCTAAAAGTACAAGACTATGATAGTTTGATTCAACTCGAAGGGAACGTCACCAAAAACTGAATGAAAAGGTTTGGTTTCTCTTTGCACTATTTTGCACTCCCGTCGGACGTACTGAACGCGTCACAAGAAAGTGGTTCATCTCTTGGACATAACTCACAACTGTACTCGGAATTAAACAATAACTCACTATTGTTAGTGCTGGAAGTAAATATATTTTATTCTTTGAGTCTATAAATTATGAAGGCAGGATTAGATGGGCAAGGTAAGGCTTTCAGTGCTATTGTTAATGGCTTGCAATGGCTGTGCCTGTTGAAAAGGAAAGAAATGAACAAATATCAATAAGTTTTAAGGTATTTTTATAGAAGCACTCCCGTTTCGCGTCACATCCACTACCGGAAGTCAGCTCCTGCACCACTCTAGTGCCGTCGGATATACGAATAATGTCAGTTTTTTAAAGTTAAGGTTTAGTTTTAGGATTTTTTCGATAATGCATGCTTTTATAGACATTAGGGGGGTTTCAGGGGTTCTCCCCCTGACGTGCGAGTACGTTATAGCAGTGTAGTAGATCTAGGTCGGGTAGGGGCCCTGAAATAAAGAGCCGTTACATTTAAACTAACAATTTGCGACGTTTTTCAATGCCAAAATCGTGTTCAGGGCCCAAAAAAAATCTACAAAAAGCTACAAAATAATATCTTTTATGAGACGGGAGGGTTTCTATAAATTAAATCGGTTACACGTCTTTCTTCACTTTGTTTTGTTGATTCTTTAAAAAAATGTAGATCCACATGTCATCAGAACAATAATAGAACGTGCCCGAGAAGTTCAGAAAGATCTTGATTTATGTTTTATAGACTACCCCAAGGCATTCGACAAAGTTAGGCACGACAAGATCAGCGACATGCTGGAAGCCCTCAACATCGACGGGAAAGACTTAAGGATTATCGAGAACATATACTGGGATCAAACTGCGGCAATGAGAATAGAAAACGACATCAGCGAATACATACAGATTAAAGAGTCCTACTAATTGCCGTCCGGAGCCGTCCGGAGCCGTCCGGAGCCGTCCGAAAGCCGTCCGGAGCCGTCTGGAAAGCAGCACTCATAATGACTAATATATGGACTCTTACTAATTGCCGTCTGGGGCATGTAGCCGTTCACTTCAACCTAGATCTGGACTACGTGCTTCACAACCTTTTCCCCCGACCGGCCATAACATTCCGAAGACCACAGACTCAACAACAACGACTACAACAATCACACAGCATCTCTTACAGGTGCTGCATCCTGTTACGTGCGAAGCACCTACAATCACAAAACCTTGGCTGTCTTTGGTTGGTAGATCTACCCCTTTTACACCTGGGTGGGGTGATAAATGTAGGTTTCCAAGGGTACACGGGAGTAGCAGTGTGTCGAAGTCCGAATTATAACACAGAAACAGTTAGGGAACGTTCGCATATTATGTCATCAAAAATGACCCTTTTTGACCCCCCCCCTGTCATCACATGTCATCGATTGGCTCACACCACCCCCCCCCCTCCCTGTTTGATGACATAATCGAACCACTACAAAATGCAATGAATAATACATTGTTTGTGCTTTGTAATTTTTAACTCGTTTTTATTTTTATTTCAGATTTTCACAAAATGTGTAAAAGTAAAAGAAAAAAATAATTACTGCTATCACGAGTACAAGTTAAATAAAATCAATGATTGATTGGTAAAACTCAATAATGAAAAACTGATTAAATGTGATGACACATGGCGGAATCAGGCTCTCGTCAAGTCAAATTTAGGTCTGATTTCAGTTTTAAATTTTTAGTGAACATTCAACACAATTTTCAGTGGGAAATTGAACATGTAGATCTATAACAATCTTTTGGAACTTTAATTAATTACTCTTAACGAGACCACCATCCAAATTTTTGCTGTTACGTAAAGACACCAATATATTGACGAGAGCCTGATTCCACCATGCCTCAACACAAATGTAACATAATTTAAGAACAGAAAATTAAAATAGATTTTACTTGGTTCAAAACTTTTTAAATTATGGAACGACTAGATAAACTTTAAAAAATAATTGAATGCAACACCACTATGCACAGAGACTTAAGAGATGATCTAATGTTTTAGATTTTGGTATGACTAGAGGAACTCAATAAATAAATGTCAATTTTAAACTCCTAAAATCAATCCTCACACTCACACCAATAAATGTAACAAACTTTGTTTGGAATCTACATCTTTTGTTGTGAATTAATTAGAACATAATATTATGTTAAAACATTGTTGATTTTAAATGGTAAAAAATAACTTTAACATCTAAACACAAGCTTTAGTAAACCCATATCTCGGGTGTTTGTTTAAGAGTCTTCATCACTCATAAAAACAATCCTCACACCAATGAATGTAACAAACTTTCGAATCTACATCAACATTGTTGATTTTAAATAGTAAAAAATAACTTGAACATCTAAAGCATTATACAAGCTTTAATGTCAATTTTAAACTCATAAAAACAATCTTCACACTCACACCAATAAATGTAACAAACTTTGTTTGGAATTTACATCTTTTGTTGTAAATTAATTAGAACATAATAAAGAGGAGTCACACAAGGATGTATACTTTCTCCAGACTTGTTCTCCCTGTATAGTGAAAATATCATGAGACACATAGAAGAAATGGCTGGTATCTCGATAGAGGGACCTAATATAAACAATCTAAGATATGCAGATGACACAGTCCTAATAATAGCAGAAGATGAAGAACACCTGCAGAATCTACTAAATGCCATCTTACAAGAGAGTGACAACATAGGCTTAAGCCTAAACATCAAGAAAATCGAAACAATGGGGATAAGCAGATAAACTCCAACCCCAACATGCAATATCAAAATCAATGATACCACCCTCAAGCAAGTGCTCATTTTAAATATTTGGGGACCATTATATCATCAGATGGTAGATGTCACACCGAAATTAAAAGCCGCATTTGCCAAGCAAAAGCAACCTTCCACAAGATGAAACAGATACTAACAAACATCAATCTGTCACTGGAAACGAGAAAAAAGTACTGAAAAGTTACGTTGAGCCAATCCTATTATACGGGTGGTGGACAATTAATAAACAACAGGAAAGAACAATTGTGGGGACAGAGTTATGGTTCACAAGACACATGCTACGTATCCCATGGAGAGCTAGAAAAACAAATGAAGAAGTCTTGGTTGAAGCAAATTTTAGAAGACAACTTATGACGAATATAAGAAAGCGACAGGCAAATTTCTTCGGACACACAATGCGGAAAGAAGCATTAGAGAATATTGTAACAACAGGCAGGTTTGATGGAAAGAGAGGCAGAGGCAGACAGAGGGAAAAGATATTGGACAGTATGACAACATGGCTAGGAGCAGCAAGAACAACAGACACCATTGCTGCAGCGCAAGACAGAGTGAAGTGGAGGTCCATGATCGCCCACGCCCATCAGCAAGGCACCGATTGATGATGAGATCTAGATCTAGATTTATAACTTACAAGGGAAAAAGAAAGACTTCTACTAGAGTAGATCTAGATCTACCCTTTTCATTTTAAGAAACTGATAAAGCGTTAAATCAAGACAATGTTTGACATGTTGAAGCTTTAGTTTTTATGATACAATTTCATGAGTTTTACATTTGTAAGTTGCTGTATGAGTGGTGGGAAAACACTAATTAGATCACATTCTAGATGTAGAATCTAGATCTAATGTTTAGTCTACTGATTTTAAAGTAACCGTGGCACCGAAAACGACACAGTTAGAGATCTAAACTTGTAAAGGATCAATTAAAATGCTTCAGAAATGTTCACTAAAATTGTGTATTTTGTTCCCTCGATCACATCACTGTTAACGATAACAAAAACGCTGTTCTAGCTGTGGAGAGATGATTTGTTTTGATAGAGGTTTTATGACAATTGCAACACTTAACATAATATACGTGCCAAATATTACAGTTACAAGAGAATAACAAACATAAAAAAGAAAGAGGGTAACAAACGAAGACAGTACGACATAGTGATAGAAACCACACGTGCGCCCACCAACCGTCCGAGCTTTGGTTGACGTGAGATATCCAACAGTGCAAATGTTGTTTAGAACAATTTAGCTCAAGGTATGAAAGCCATAATATCCATACGACAGAAAATATATGGAATGTCAGGGCATAGTCTGGCGAGAATCAGTGTCAATAAAAGAGGTGTCACAAGAATTATCATCATCAATAGGATGCGTGCAGTAAAGAAAAGACAGGCATGAAAAAATGGGACAGAAGAAAGGAGCTGGGAATGAGAAAGGAGTGAGAATGTGAAACATTAGGCTAAGTTACAAAAAGAGGCCAACGGAAAGAAGAAAATGCGCTCATCAGGACGCTCACCTCATGTGCCCACGCTGTTCGACGGTTTCTGAAAAATACCGTTAAAAGGTTGTTGGAAGGATCTTCCTACAGTAGCGAAGTCGATCACAAGGTATAACAATGAACAGTTTTCGAATAGATCCTGTGTGAATATGTCTGTGTGAGCACAGGTGTGTGTTTGTTTTGTTTGTTTTTGTATGTGTGTTTGAATTTGTTATATATGAGGCAGCGAGGTGGAATCAGGCTCTCGTCAAAATAATCAAAGTGAACAAACTTGCATTTTTCAGCAGGTTTGTGAATTTTTATCAAATTTTTGTTTTTTGGCTCAACACCTTTCATGCGCATTAGAAAACTCATTTCTGTGTGGATTTTTCTGAAAAGCATTGATTAAAGGCACAAAAATGTAAATTTTCAGTTCTTAAGTTAAGGAAATAACTAATCTTTGGCGGCCATTTTCTCACAAATGTTACCTCTGAAAACAGGTGACCCCCACCTCCTTCTTTTGCAAATATCTCGACTTGTATGCAAGATAAATGGATATTGTTTTCCTTTCAAATAAAGACAAGTGAACAAGCTTTAAGATGATACCAATAACTCTACAAACCCAAAAATTGACGAGAGCCTGATTCCACCACGCTGCCTCACATATGGAGTGGGGAAAAAGGGGAAACTTCTATTTTCCTTGTTTCTGGAGGCAAGTGGGGTAGTGTTAGAAAAAAAAAAGGGGGGGGGGGTGTTGATGTTTGCTGATTACGCCTTTCAACACAGTGCTGCGAAGTTCAATTCAACAGGAAGAATATTTTCAAAGTTTCCACCTCAAAACTTTTAGGAGTCAAACCCACTATCTTTCGACAGATAACACAACCCAGAAAAGGCAGCCTAGTTCTCCAAGTCAAAATAAGAATTGAAAATGAAGGCGATACTGATCTTGTGGGTGCATTTACAAGCTCAATAATTAGAGATCGCTCAAATATCACTCAACGCCCGTTCCCGCTTGCAGTTTTGTTGTTGTTCTTCTTCTTGTTGTTTTTCCTAGTTATGTCTAAATGATTACGAGTGCAATATTATATCTGCATCCCTTTTTTCAGGTCAAGATTGAATTTAATCGGACACGCAAATAACTTCCCTGTACATGTGAAAGAAGCACACGATGTTTAAATGGACTTCTCCAAATAGCTTGTCGGTGCCAGACCAAATGTTGTCAAATAATGATTCGTATACAAGAAAGGTGGCACGGCTAGAACTGGCTGGACATCATCACAATAATGCCCCTTCAGTCGATGGCAAGAGACAGTCTTTAAAATTGGTGAGTGATCGGAGGCAGGTAGACCCCCAAGACGGTAGGAAGCCGACTAGTACATGCAACAGACAAACTGCCAAATCAGTCCCGACGTCTCCCACAGAGTGGAAAGGGGGACAGCAGAAGAAAAAAAAGAGTGCCAGTTCATCTCTCCCGAGCTCACCACAAAAGTTCAAGAAAGCCACAGGATATCAGGCGAGTCAGCAAAAGCAAAGTCTATTATCAAAAGTCAAAGGAATGTTCCGAAAGTCTGGGTCTAAAGGAAAATCTCATAAAAGGTCAACGTCATCCCTACCCTCCTCTCCAAAGAAATATACTTCTTTCACCGAGAGCCCTGATCAAGGGTGGAAGGGAGGGACATGGACATCAGTCAGAAAGGTAAAGGAGATCAGCCCCGCAGATCCGAGTTCAAAATCTGGGCCAAAATCGAGATTGGGGAGGTTGATTGAAACGAAAAAGCAACAACGGAAACTGATACGTTCTCTAAATGAGAAACGAGACGAGGACAGCAAGCACCACGTGATTTCAACTGACTATGACCCTTACGTGCAGCGGGAGTTTCCTTACATCCCTACCGCTACAGAACGAGTCCATGACAGCAAAGTAGACCGATTTTTACAACCTGATGATTGTGAATACAACCAGCGTATTTGGGGAATAGACAAAAGTTCAAGACATAATGCTAATGTGAAGCAGAAAAAACTTATAACATTTTCCAGCATCCAAACCCGGCCAGAAACTTCTCCGGGAAGCGAAGTGCCTGACGCGACTGTACCTCAAATGACTCGCGATTCTCTCAGACACAGCTTGTCCTTCAGATCAAACATCGACAACTCACTGGGTTTTCCTCTCTTTAAAAGAGAACGCAAACGATGGTCTCTACGTAGCGAGGGATCTGTGGGCCTGTACGAGGATCACGTTAGAACTGAGCTTCTTCCCTCGCCCAATGTCGAGGAAAGCATGCACGACAATACTGATAAATACAAATTCGGCCAGTTACGTGCTAGACACTCTCTCAGCGACACAGACAGAGAATCGAATCTGACAGCTAGTCTGACGTCTGTCCACGAGTATGAGCAATCGTTACTGAGTCATGAGAGGGCTGGTCTTGGGAGAGTGAAAGTCATGCCGTCTGATGTGAACCAGATACTACTAACCAAAATGGGACTCACGTCTCCTAAAGAACGTGAACTGAAAAGAGAACTGAGTAAGGTTAACGAATTAAGTTCTGAGAGATCGAAAATTGAGAGACAAGCGTTAAGCACCACCGGAGAGCACCTATTGATGTGTGGGAATATTTCAGTGGCTGAAAGAAAAGAACAACTGCGAAACACTCCTAATAACATTCTTTTTGCTCAAGAGAATTCGGAAACAAATCTGCACATGAGAAATAACAACAACGGTCATCACGGGAAGAAACAACCTGCTTTGGCAAACCACCCTTTTGTAAATGCTAACGGAATTTTGAATAAGGAGCCCGAGTTGTTAATTGCAACGCATCATGATCGTAAGATCAAAGAGTGGCAAGCTCATATTTATCAGCGTCCTCAGGGTTTCAGTTTAGATATCACACCTTGTCAAAAGGAGACACTTAACTTTGAAAAATGCCCAGTTCAGATTAACACAGATCTCACTGATCGAAGACAATGTGAAGTTAAAAGTAGAAATTTGATTAGTTCTTTGGTTCACGCACGGACACCTCAAAGTTTCCTCTACCCGAACAGCCCATCCAGCAACTCAGAGGACAGCTTTGGCGGCAAAGAAACTCCCAAACATTCGACACCTGCTGACAGCAACATGCGGAACAGTGAGTTTCTGAGCATCAGTCACTGGCTGGAACACAGCAAGTGTTCGAGTATCGAGGGAGCCAGCATCCCTCTTGAGGAGGAGGAACATTTTCAAAATCACACCAACACAGATACTTCTTGGGAATCTACGGGGTTTTGTCCAAGAGATGCAGAAGCGGAAGACGAAGAGCAGAGACCGAACTTTGATCCCAAAGTCATGAAGGCCATTTACAAGGATCAGCAAGGTCCAGATAAGAGATCGTCTGATGAGAATGAAGTCAAAGAGCCCGTGGAGACTATCAGAAGTCACATTGAAGTCCACAGAGCAGGAACCATTAGCGTAAATGACATCAGCAGAGATTTTCAGACAACTGTATCCCCTGAAACAGTCGAGGAAGTAGAAGGTATCCAGTCCCCAGAAACATACAGCCATGAGAATGTTCCAGCTGCACCATCACCTTTAAAAGAAATGAGTTGGAGTGCCCCAAGCATCAATATTGAAGAAAATCTTTCTTCTACGTCGGATCTTTATGCCAAAGAAATTATTAGCGATACGAATACGAGTGTCTTCGGACCACATAAAGTGACTCGTCAAAGTTTGTTGCAGTGCAACATTGAGGCATCGAACTCTGCCGCGGACTTGCCAAAGTGTTTGAACGTATTCCAAGGTAGAACAAATGACGTGAATCACATGTCTTGTATGGATGCTGACACCAGGCATATGAAAACAGGACAACCCTTTGAACAAGATGGATTTAAGGCTGAAGCCTTTGATGATTCGTCTGTCGCTCTAGTAGACATGGTGTACTGCAGTCCAAATGTAGTACATAGCTCAGGGGAGACTAACGGTCCAGCAACTGTTCTAACCTTTCTTCCAGAAAATGAGGTAGCTCAAAAGTCTGTTGGCTATACAAAGAACTGTAAAGATCCATCGAAGCAAGATCTCAGCGGGGTTACTCCAGGTTCAAAGATTTCAGAGAAGGGAGAGAGCGTTAGCGAAAGTTCAGCGCACTTGGGTCGGCAAGATTCTGTCTCTTTGTCTCCGAGCCAACACAAACAAGAACTACGCCAAACAGATCTGCTCAATCCTACCTCAAACCTCGGGCTACCATTCGATCAGACAGACACAACAAGGGTTACTTCTGAAGAGGGCATCATGGACGTTGAGGCTCCCAGTGACATGATAGAGTCCGAGTGGAGTCTAGCAGACAACTCAGTCTCAGACAGGGATATCAAATTTACACTATACGATATCGAGGACGTGCTCTCTCCACCACGCACCCAAGACAGACCTAGAGAGACCACTACAACCACGGCTACATCCCTACCCACAGGAGATGACAGAAACGAGACATGCTCATATGAACCGTCCTCTCGTCTTACGGGAAAGTCAGCACTCGAAAGGCGACATCTTGCTGCCTCGAGTAAGTCTGAACACTTAGGAGAGATGTCCTCTCCCGACGTCTCGTCACGTCCTGTAGAGGTGGAGTTCTCTGACTCGAAGCTAAGACGTGACGACCCCACACGGCTTATCGAGACTCATCGCGTTGGAGGTCTACAAGCAGGTTCTAGAACAGTTCATGGGCCTGAAGTGAGTGAGAAACATGCCGTAACAGAACGGGGGGTACGGCCACTGGAAATGTTCATCATGCCGAGCTCAGTTCTAGAGCAGCGCGGAGGGGAGAGGCAGGGGCAAACTGACGAGGAATGGCTCAAGAGCAGGCCCAAAAAGCGGGTGAGCAAATGATTATGATCAGACTCACACTGACCAATACGATTTTTTTCTGTTACCTTTTTTGTGGGATGTGGGGGGGATTTTCCTTCAAAATAATTCTAAATCTCGTTTTTGTTGTTGTCGTTTTTATGAGGGGTGTTTATTTTCTATTTATTTTCTTTCTGTTGTATTTCTATTTAATGTTATTTATTCACTTATCTATTTTTAGAGAGGTAGAAACTAGGCCTGGGCATTATTCGCTTTTTAAAAAACCGAATAAATAGGTACCTGTTTCTATAAAAATCCGAATAACCGAATAAATGAATCGTTTTTTCGCACGGGACGGGG